CAGCACCAGATCTTTCTTCTGCGTCATCCCTGTTATTGATTGGCATCAATTATGGAAGAAATCCTTATTAGTCCTGAAGATATGAAATGCAGCATTAGAAAATGTGAAATCATGCACGCAGCTAGCAGTCCAAGTCTTGAGATCACTCAGCTATTCCTTTTTAATGGCAACCCTGCCATTTATTGTATGTTAATCATTAACTAACCACTGATACGTATCCAACATTAACTCCTCCCTAGCTACTCACAAGCTCTAACTCAATCTCTATCTATTTTCTAATTCTTCCTCTTTCTGAGCTCCAGATTTTCTTTGTTGATCAATCACTTTTTCCATTTCATATAAGCACCTGGCTTCTCCTTTGCATTTTTCAAGTAGCTATTAATCTTCCTAGGTTTGGAATAAGTCCTTGTAAAAAAACCTCTCCCCTTCTTATTCTTCATTTTTCAAGTGTTATAATGTTTCTGTTATAATATAAAATATCTATAACAACAAGAAGAAAAAGAAATGAGCCCAGAAGACAAAAAATGGAAAAAAAAAAAAAACCCTGAACACTTGATTTAATTTCTTCATTCTTCTTCAGCAGCCAGTTGTGACTTTCCTAGTGTGGCAAAGGCAAAGATTATTCCAGAAATTTTAAGTGCACCAGGTAGATTTGATGCACTAACAGTGAATTTAGAGACTAAAAAACAAGCAATGAAAATCTTTTCCAATGCCAATGATAAAATATGTCCCATTACTATCTACCTCTCTGTTTTCAGAAAACAAACCACTGAAGTGACACACACTTGCTCACCAAACTCCTTGGCTCAGTTCTGGTGGCCTAGACCAGACATCTGAGGTTAAGAACTGGAGCAAAGAGCGGTGCTTGTTTTCTTGCATGTTCTTTTCCTCTTAGTTTCCAACACAGAATTTGTTTTTCCACTGCTGCATGTGTGGTCAGAGCTGCTGTTAGCAGTTCAGAGTATGTCACTGCCAGACGTTCTTCTCCTTCACCATTATTCTCCTCACATTATGGGATACTATTTTCAATTTTAATTTCTTACAGCTGAGATATCAAAACGATGACCTAGGTACAAAGATCTATTTATACTTGAGTGTCTTCAGGAACAGATACACTGAAGAAAGACTATGGAATGCCAGCAAAGGCAGTCACATCAAAATTGCCATCATAAAACCACAGTATTTTGTGCTGCTCAGAAAATTTTGGAGACCAGAAGGATGATAAGATCAATACTCTATATTAAACACGTGCAGCCACTGTCCTTAATTCTTGGTTCACTCAGCACATGACTTTTGAAGACATGGGATGTTCTCTACATATATAGGACCAGTGAAGTTCATCCATATGGGGTTAAAAAATAAAAACAAAACCAAAATGAAGCATACAGAATATTATTGTGCTCAGCACAGGGAATGCTGGGTGAAAAGCTTAAAGGAAATGAAATATAGGAGGTTAGAAGATGTAATCATACTTTTTTGTATGTAATCCTCCTCTGAGGAGAGAAAGAAATGGCAAACCCTGGCAACCTCTTATGGACACTAATAGACAGCAGCAGTTTAAGTAGGATCTGGCCATTCTGAATTTTCAGATTCCTGGTGACACCAAGCAGGCCTAGATCAGGGCTTTCTTGTGCTTAGCAGTTAAAAACGTGAAGCCTCTTTGACCCAAGTAATTTCAAATGGTTCAGAAGAAAGCACAAAAATAGGTTATGAAGAAAAATGACACTATGTGAATCTGTGAAGCGTTTTTTCAACCCTCTCAACATATGACTCTGTTTTTAAAAACAACACAAAACAGAAAAAGCAACTCTGTGATCCAGCAAGATATTCATAACTTGGGCACTCAAAAAGTACAAGAGGTTAATGTGTCTCTGCACAGGATGGATGTAAAACATCGGGAGCCACAGCTCTGTGAACTGAAAAGTCCCAAATGTGTTACTTGTGTCAGTTATGCCATAAAATAGGTTACAGTCCTATCTATGGGATGACAAGAGTGGTAACACCAGAGTTGTAATTAGCATTGACTGACAACTCTGGCCCAAGCTCAAGAGATGTAAAAGTTAAATGAGCAAAACATATCAACTCCTTGCCACCCGCGCTCAGG